CCGCGGGTGGTCGAAGATGCACGCGGCCCCGTTTGTGCAGGAACCTGCGGTTGAGGCGGCGGGGCGACGGCCGAAGGGGCGCATCCGCTCCCGTTCTCCTTCTCATCCTCCTCCTCCGCCTCCTCCTACTTCTCCTCCTCCTCCTCTTCCTCCTCCTCCTCCTCCTCCTCATCCTCCTCCTCCTCCTCCTCCTTCTCCTCCTCCTCCTTCACCGCCTCCCCCTCCTCCTTCTCCTTCTCCTCCTCCTCCTCCTCCGCCTCCTCCTCCTCCTCTCCTCCTCCTCCTCCTCCTCCTCCTCCTCATCATCATCATCATCATCGTCATCGTCCATCGTCATCATCTCATCATCATCATCTCATCATCATCATCATCATCATCATCATCATCATCATCATCTCATCATCATCATCATCATCATCATCTCATCATCATCATCATCATCATCATCATCATCATCATCATCATCATCATCTCATCCTTCTCCCCATCCTCCTCCTCCTCGTCCTCCTCCTCCTCCTCCTCCTCCTCCTCTCCTCGTCCTCCTCCTCTTCCTCCTCCTCCTCCTGCTCCCTCCCCTCCCCCTCCTCCTTATCCTCACTGTCCCACTGTCCCACTGTACCCACTACTGTTCACTGTCCCCGCCGCTGTCCCACTGTGCTGTCCCAGCGTCCCCTAGTGACCCCCCCCCCCCGTTTTCGAGAGGGGGGAGGGGGGGGGTTCGAACCGGTAGTGACCCCCCGGTTTTCGGGGGGGGGGGGGTCGAACCGGTACCCCCTTTTCATGATGGACTGGGGGGGGAGGGTTTCGAACCAGTAGCGACCCCCCCGGTTTTCTGGGGGGGGGGGGGGGGTCGAACCGGTAGTGACCCCCCCCGGTTTTCGGCCAGCAGCAGTAAAACACGCTTTTTCTAATATCATCGTCCTAATCATCGTCATCATTATCACTACCACCATCACCATCACCATCACCATCACCATCACCATCACCATCACCATCATCATCATCATCATCATCATCATCATCATCATCATCATCATCATCATCAGCAGCAGCAGCAGCAGCAGCAGCATCGTCATGACCATCATCAGCATCATCGTCGTCATCACCATCATCAGCACCAGTATCATCATCGTCATCATCATCATCATCATCATCATCATCATCATCATCATCATCATCATCAGCATCATCATCATCATCACTCCCGCGGGGCCTGTGTTCAAGAACAGCAGGCACTGCTCCGCCCCCGGGCGGATAGGAAGCCCAAGCTCGTTCAGCTGCGCGGCTTGCCCAGGCGGCCCGCCTGGGAGCGGGAGGGGGAGGGGGCAGCAGAAAAGGACAAAGGAGAGGAAACGGGAGGGGGGGAGGAAGGGGACGGAGACAAAGACAGGGAAGGGAGAGAAGGGAAGGGCAAGATGGGCGCGCGCGCGCCACATCTGAAACCCTACCCCTCCCATCCATTACCATTGCGTTCCATCTCCGTGCATTCGCAAAGTCTGGACCCCTAAAGTAGGAAGCCCACAAAGGACGTACGCGCCCAGCTATGTACATGAACTTGGCCCCTCGATCTGCGAGACCGGCCGCGTTATGCGAACATTTGCGCAATGCGTACTCTCGAAACCAGCGTGTATTCATGTACGTGTACGTCCTTTTATCGCTCTTGATAAAGGGCAAAGCGTCGAAGAAGACATCGGAAATCAACAAACTGGGAGGGGCATGAGTGAGGCGGAGGAGCAGTGGAGGGGCACAAAGGAAGCGGAAGGGAGGGGCAGGGAAGCAGAGCGAGACGGAAGGGCAAGGAGGTCGGACTGAGGACGACGACGAGGCAAGAAGGAGAGGACGAAGAAGCTGGAGGAGACAAACGAGAAGGACTGCTTGGGGGCAGTTCAACGACTGGGACGGGGATGGCGGCGTACCTTGCCATTACTTGGACGTCCATTCTCCGTGCATTGTCCGGTCTCGTGGGTGTGTGTTTTTTTGCCCGATGATCCAGGGTGCTCCTCGATGGTCCTCGCCAAGACAAAATGCACACGTCCGAGCGATGCCAAGGTACGGGCGTCGACGCGTGCGGCACGGAAACGACACTCTGGCTCGCTCTCGCGCGCGCGCGCCCGGCGCGGCGGCTGCGGCGGGCGCGCGGCCTGGGGGCAGCGGCCCTGGGCCGCCTGGCAGCATCGCGTAGGGCCCCGGGCGCGGCGGCATGGTGGGCGCGCCGCCCTTCATGGGGCCGAAGCCCCCGCCGGGAGGCCCGCCTTTCAGCATTGCCTGCGGCTCGGTGGGGCGGGGCGCACCGGCAGGCCGTGGGCGCGGGTCTTCGCTCTTCCCGACCCTTTTCTCCTGGCTTCTTCCCCCGCCCTTCCCGATGCCACGACTCCCCGTCCCTGCCCGTTCCTACTGGCTTCTCCTCCCCCTCCTCCCCCTGAAGCTCCTGGCCGGATGTTGGATCAAGTTTAGACCGCCTACGCAAGGCCCCTCCGCAGGACAGAGGGGAGTAAAAGGAAAAGGCTGTCCCCATCCTCCCCACAAGCCGACGGGGGGGAGACGAGGGGACGAGGAGGACGGCGATGAGAATAAGGACAAGGAGGACGGCGGAGGAAGAAGAGGAAGGGGGGAGGGAAGACGGAGAGGGAGAGAAAGAGGGAGAGAGGGAGGAGGACGACGAGGACGAGGAAGAGGAGGAGTAGAAGGAGAAGGAGGAGGAGGAAGAGGAAGAGGATGAGGAGCAGGGGGAGGGGGAGGGGTGAGGGGGAGGAAGGAGGGGGAGGAGGAGGAGGAGAGGAGGAGGAGGAGGAGGAGGAGGAGGAGGAGGAGGAGGAGGAGGAGGAGGAGGACGACGACGACGACGACGACGACGACGACGACGAGGACGATGATGACGACGACGACGACGACGACGACGACGACGACGACGACGACGACGACGACGACCCCTGGCGGTTCCCCATACTCCGCATCCCCCGGGCCAGCCTTCTCTGCGGCGCGCGCCTCGCGAGGCCGTGCACGCCCTAAAAAGCAGCGTGGCTTGGGCCCTTGCATGCACGGGAAGACAAGGAATAAAAGGAGACAGACCAGGAGGGGAGGCGGGAGCAGGAGCAAAAAGAGTGAGCAGGAGTAGCAGAAGGAGTGAGGAGGAGGACGACGACGACGACGTGGAAGAGGAGGAGGAGGAGAAGGAAGAGGAGGAGGAGGAGGAGGAAGAGGAGGAGGAGGAGGAGGAGGAGGAGGAGGAGGAGAGTGAGGAAGGGGACGAGGAAAGGGAGGAGGAGGAAAGGGAAGAGGAGGAGGAGGAGGAGGAGGAGGAGGAGGAGGAGGAGGAGGACACTTTGTCTGGACCATATGAGCACCCCTGATCAGGCCAGCAGTCGAGGGCCAAACCCACAACGAGGGGAAATCCATACCGAATTTTGGTGAGCAACCCTCGGGACAAACGAGACAGGACACTGGCCTTGAGTCGGGCCTGTCCCCCTACAGGGGGATTTTCGACGAAAAATAAAAATGCCCCAAAAATACTCCAAAGATGCCCAAAAGTACTGGAAAAAACAGCCCCCTGACTATTTTACCTAACAGCGAAGACTGATAGGTTTCTAGTAGTGTCAAAAGAAAAATCTTGACTCCCCAGGGGGGTCTGGGCGGGTGCCCGGGAGAAACCGCGGAAGTCGTTTTAAGCAAACAGTTACACACTTCGTGGTCTTCGAGGTCCCAGAACTCTATTCCTGGGCATGTTTTTGAATGCCCGGAGCCAACTGTAGGCCATTTCGTGGTCTTCGAATTCCCAGAACTCCATTCCTGGGCATGATTTTGAATGCTCGGAGCCAACTGTAGGCCACTTCGTGGTCTTCGAATTCCCAGAACTCCATTCCTGGGCATGATTTTGAATGCCCGGAACCAACTGTAGGCTACTTCGTGGTCTTCGAGTTCCCAGAATTCCATTCCTGGGCATGATTTTGAATGCCCGGAACCAACTGTAGGCCACTTCGTGTTCTTCGAGTTCCCAGAGCCGCATTCCCGGGCCACATGTTGAATGCTGAGGCAGGCTGAGGCTGAGGCTGATGCAGGCTGAGGCTGAGGCCGAGGCTGAGGCTGAGGCCGAGGCTGAAGGCAGACTGAGGCTGAGGCTGAAGCAGGCTGAGGCTGAGGCTGAGGCAGGCTGAGGCTGAGGCAGGCTGATGCTGAGGCAGGCTGAGGCTGAGGCTGAGGCTGATGCAGGCTGAGGCTGAGGCAGGCTGAGGCTGAGGCCGAGGCTGAAGGCAGACTGAGGCTGAGGCTGAAGCAGGCTGAGGCTGAGGCTGAGGCAGGCTGAGGCTGAGGCAGGCTGAGGCTGAGGCTGAGGCTGATGCAGGCTGAGGCTGAGGCAGGCTGAGGCTGAGGCCGAGGGCTGAAGGCAGGCTGAGGCTGAGGCTGAAGCTGAGGCTGAGGCTGAGGCTGAGGCTGAGGCAGGCTGAGGCTGAGGCTGAGGCAGGCTGAGGCTGAGGCAGGCTGAGGCTGAGGCTGCAGGCTGATGCAGGCTGAGGCTGAGGCTGAGGCAGGCTGAGGCCGAGGCTGAAGGCAGATTGAGGCTGAGGCTGAAGCAGGCAGAGGCTGAGGCAGAGGCAGGCTGAGGCTGAGGCTGAGGCAGGCTGATGCCGAGGCAGGCTGAGGCTGAGGCTGAGGCTGATGCAGGCTGAGGCTGAGGCAGGCTGAGGCTGAGGCCGAGGCTGAAGGCAGACTGAGGCTGAGGCTGAAGCAGGCCGAGGCTGAGGCTGAGGCAGGCTGAGGCTGAGGTGAGGCAGGCTGAGGCTGAGGCTAGGCTGAGGCTGAGGCTGAGGCTGATGCAGGCTGAGGCTGAGGCAGGCTGAGGCTGAGGCCGAGCTGAAGCAGACTGTGGCTGAGGCTGAAGGCTGAGGCTGAGGCTCAGGCAGGCTGAGGTGAGCTGAAGCAGGCTGATGCTGAGGCAGGCTGAGGCTGAGGCTGAGGCTGAGGCTGAGGCTGAGGGAGCTGAGGCTGAGGCTGACGCAGGCTGAGGCTGAGGCTGAGCAGGCTGATGCTGAGGCAGGTGAGGCTGAGGCTGAGGCTGATGCAGGCTGAGGCTGAGGCAGGCTGAGGCTGAGGCCGAGGCTGAAGGCAGACTGAGGCTGAGGCTGAAGCAGGCTGAGGATGAGGCTGAGGCAGGCTGAGGCTGAGGCTGAGCAGGCTGATGCTGAGGCAGGCTGAGGCTGAGGCTGAGGCTGATGCAGGCTGAGGCTGAGGCAGGCTGAGGCTGAGGCCGAGGCTGAAGGCTGACTGAGGCTGAGGCTGATGCAGGCTGAGGCTGAGGCTGAGGCAGGCTGAGGCTGAGGCTGAGGCTGAGGCTCAGGCTGAGGCTGAGGCTGTGACTGCGACTGCCGTTGCCACTGCGACTGTCATCGCGAATGCGACTACGACTGCGAGAACAGCAGAATTCTACAACTGGATTCTCATCTGAATCTTAAGGGGAATGCTTCCAGATATGCTCCTACACATCGCTGTTAGGTTGCTTTGCCGGGATAATTTCACTATGTTTGAAAATTTCCCCTATAGAGGGACAGGCCCGACTTAACACTGGCCCCGCGTGGGCGAGCTGCTTCTGGCGAAGGTCCTCGATGCGGTAGGCCGCCAAGCAGCAAGCGGCGGCGGAGCGCCGCGCAACTGCCCCACAGTCAGGGTAGAGCGGCTCCGCCACGAGACCGTCCGTGGTGATGTGGCGCCGCCAGCGGAGCGCGTTCAGCACGACGCGCAGCACGTGGGCGGGGAAGCCCGCGCGGCCGGTAGAAGACCGACGAGCTTGCTGCGCGAGACCAAGGGCCTCACGAGGTCCCAGAGCAGGGCCACGAAGAGGCGGCCCTGCTCCCCGCCCGCCAGGCGCAGTCCGAGGCCTCCCGACCCTCGCCCCGTGCTGAGGAGGCCCGGGTCCCGCAGCCTCGGCTGCCAGGCGCGGAGGGTGCCCGCGCTGGCACTTGCCCCCACCGCCTGTGCAGGGCCTTGAGCTGGCCGGCGAGGCGCTGCGCTGGCAGCAGCTCCTGCTCCGCCGAGGAGCCCCGCCGTGCCCTCCAGGGACTCCTGCCAGCCAAGCTGCATCGGGTGCACACCGCCCAGCGTGCAGGTGGCCGTCCTGAATTTGGCCGCCGCCCGCCCGACGTCGTCGCCCGTGACGAAGTAGTCGGTGGCCAAGCTGCCATGTGAGACGACCGTCTCGTCGAGGGCTCGCTGCACGGCCGAGATGGCCTTGGTGGCCTGGCCCACGTCGAGGCCCCTCCGGTACGTGTTCCACTCCGCGTGGCACTTGTCCAGCACCCGAAGCGGGTTGACACGGCGGTCGTGCGCCTGCGCCGAGGGGTCCACGAGCTCAGGCGGGGGGGCAGCGGGCTCCTTGGACCAGCGGTGTAGCTTTGGCGCTCAGGTCCTGGCGGAGCGCCTCGCGCCAGTGCAGGGCTCCCCGCCGCAGGCCCATCAGGTAGTTACTCCTTGCAAGTCCGAACCGAGGCGACCTCCAGAAGCTCGACGGCCATCACCAAGTAGCCGAGGGAGGGCAAGTCGCCAGGCCCAGGAACGGCCGAGCACGCAGGGCCAGCGATCCCGCTGCTGCGCGCGACCTCGGAATCTCTGTCGGCGGCGGCGGCTCCAGCGCCATCCTCGGGCCGCACTGGCAGGCAAGTCCATGAATTTCACATAACAAAAAACCTGGCCTTTCCTGCCGGCGCGGCCGCGCAGGGTCGGCCTGGCACGGCGCGCCGCGTGCACCGCGTAATTGCGCGGCTGCGAGTAGTCAGGAAGCTCGAAACTAGGAAGCCTGGAAATGGGCACCAACACCAACACGGGGTGGTGCCTCTACAGGGGGAAGATGAACCTAGATTCCGGTGTTGGTGCTGGTGTCAACCTCTAGGCCTGCGAGAAACCGCCCGCAGGGCCCACCGGCGGAGCAGCACGCGGCGGCAGCTCGCCCTCCTCCTCCAAGCAGCCCCGGCTGGCAATCTCCGGGGCGGCGAGCGGGTCGTGTTCACCGTCGGAGGTGGTCCCGGCAGGCGGCGCCAGCAGCGCCGCGGGAGCGCTCGCGGCCGAAGATGCGAGGCGGGGATTTATCCATATCCACCGCCTGGGAACCGACGTCCTGGTGCCCCAGCGGGCAGTGGATATGGATATATTTCGGCCCCCGGGGGGCCCGAATATATCCATATCCACCGCCTGCCGAGGCTACGAAAACTGACCCTCCAGGCGGTGGTCATGCATAAATTCCCGCCTCGGAGAAGAGGACGGGGGACAGGGGAGCACCTGGGGTGGGCGGGAGGAGGGAGAATAGGAAGGCTGGGACGGGGACGGGAACGGAGATGGAAATGCGGAGCTGGAGGGGGAGGGGTGTGGGGAGGGGAGGAGGGGGGGGAGACGGGAGGATAAGAAGAGACCGAGCTTACGAATACCCGTGTCCACTTCCTCTTGAGGTCCTGGGACATCGGCTCCCCAGGCAGTTGATATACATACATTCTGGCCTTGAATAAAGGATATTCGCAGCAGGATGATGTAGACAGACGCGTGGCTCGTCCGAAGCCGAGCGGAGGCGTTGCCTCTCCTTCCGTTTTGTTTACGCCGTACTTCCCAATCATACTACAAATACGACTACTACGACTACTAGAATTACTCCACGACGACGACGACGTCGACGACAACGACTACTACCACGCAGACTCCGACAACTACAACAACTACGACAACTACGCCAACTACAAACTACTACTACTACGACTACTACTACTACTACTACTACTACTACTACTACTACTACTACTACTACTACTACTACTACTACTACTACTACTACTACTCTTACTACTACTCTTACTACTACTACTACTACTACTACAACTACTACTACTACTACTACTACTACTACTACTAC